CCCCCCCCCCCCCCCCCCCCCCCCCCCACTGAGCACCTCACTAGCTTCCTGCTGGCTTTCCCTTCACTCCTCCTTTTCTCCGACTCCACTGGCAGCCAGAGGGACCTCTTACAAACACAAATGTATACTCTCTCTCACCCATTTTTTTGGTGGGGGAGAGGCAACCTAATTTTTGGAGGCCTTGCTTCGGAAGGCAAAACTAAAACAAACAAAAAACCCACAAATGGGATGCCACCCCCCTTTTAAAAGCCTTTCAGTGGTTTCATTGCATTTAGAATAAAATAAGAAATACTGTGGCCCTCAGGCCAATCCAGCCCCTGACAGCCCCAGCCGCCCTGTCCTCCCCCTGTCCTCCTCGCAGGACCTGGACAACCCCAACCTGTCCCCAGGGCCCTTACCCTGCTGAGCCCTGTGCCTAGAGCACCTTTTCCTCTGCTCCATCCCACTAGGTGCTTCAGGATCCCCACCCCCCCCCAATGCTTTGTCCTCCAAAACACCTGCCCTCCTCCATCTGCGCCCATCCCAGTCTATCATGCTCTCTCCCTTTCTCCTTCATGGAACCTGCACAATATACAATTAGTTATTGGTGCATTTATTTTTCAATTGTCTATCTTTCCCCATTAAAGGTCCGTTTCCCTCTTACAGGCCACATGAGGGCAGAGATCTTGTCCATTTTTTTCTTACCTGTGTTCCCAGCACCTAGCAGGGTACTAGCTCCTAGGAGGCACTCAGGAAATGATAGTTGGTTGAATACATGAACGGACCCCTCACCTCCCCCACCCCACATTCTGAGGAGACTCTGTCTCCCCAACTCCCGGGCCCTGACCCTCTGCCCTCTGCTGCGTATGTGGCCTCTCAGGGGGCAGAAGCCGTAGGCCCTGGCCCCAGGGCAGCTGAGTCTTGCAGGGAGAGGAAGCGCACTGCTGACACAGGCTGTGAAGCATGCCGACTGGCAGGAGCACAGAAGCAGGGAGAGGCCACTTCAGGCTGTGCGCAGAGCTCAGGCTCAGGGAAATTCACCTGTCTGAGGTCACACAAACAGCAAGCAGCAGAACCAGGACTCAAAACTCTCTTATTCCAACATTGTGCTCATTTCCCTTTATCATGCCAGGAAAGCCAGTTAGAAGCTACTGCTGTATGGAACCTGGTGGGTGATGACAAGGTCTGGCCTAGGGCAGTGGTCGGGGGAAGGAGGGCAAGCATTTGAGATCAGGATGGAATCTGGGAAGATGCGGTATAGACTTGAGTGTGAAGATTCAGGGAAAAGGGTCCAAGGGGCCTGGGAGATGTAGGAGCCAGGGCAGAAGGGGTGTGTGAGAGATCTCAAGACAGAGACCTGCTTGTCTCAGACACAGAGACCTGGGCAGCAGCAAGGCCAGCCTGGGGCATCGATGAGCTCATCTGGAATGTGTGGGAGGCCAAGGCCAGGCCTGGGGTCGCCCACAGACTGAGGTTGGAGGAGAGAGAAGGAACAATTGAAGGAGGAGGAGGAAGCTGTGTCACCTTTGTGGAGAAGGTGGGAGGAGATAGGAATCAGCTTCTCATGTCAAGCGCCCTCTGAGGGGTCAGGGGAATGAGGCCCTGGTGACCTTGGAAGTCAGAGGGGGGACCAAGGAGGTTGGAGGAGAGGAAGTGGGAGTGATGCTCACAGATTCAGCAGCAGATGAAGGGGTGGTGGTGAGAACAATGAAGGGAAGGATCCTAACTCATATGCCTGCTACTGAAACCTCAGCTCCCACACATCTCCTTTCCAATGAGCCAGAGACAGGTTATATTTTTTTTAAAACATTTTAATAAAATTAACCAATAAATATTCTATACTGTATAGGCTACAGGGGCAAAGTAGAAGCCAGAGGGCTGTCTTTCCCTCTCAGGCCCTCAGGTCCCCTCACAGAAAGAGACGGTTCTGGGCTGGTTTGAGGCTGGGACTGGCTATTTGGGGGGTGAGGGGAGTGATTCCAAAATGGGTGATCTGGGCTCCTGCAACCCATCCCTCTTTGTTGGAATAGGGGAGCGGAGGAGGGGCAAAAAAAGCAGAGCCCCTGCAGGAGGCATCCCAGCACCTGGGGAAGTGGCATGGGTGAGGGGGAGAGCTAGCCTAGAAGGAAGGGGGGAGGGACGGCCCACAGGGCAGAGAAGCAGGCGTGTGGGCTGGGGATGGGCTTGGGCATCCTTCAGACCCACAGCCACTCACTCTCGGACGTAGACCCTGGTGCACACAACGTCATCCGCCGTCATGGTCTGGAAGGAGGATAGAAGTCATTGTTAGCCCGGGAGGCCCCTGGTCCTGTGGCTTGGGAAGAGGAGGGGGGTTGAACAAAGGAACTCTGCTCTGTCTCTAGGCTCAAACCTGCTTCTTGGTTCAGGGCCAACAGTCAGAAGCTGGTCCACAAAGGCCTGGGCATCATGGGAGGGAAGATGGCACCAGAGCCCCAGGGGTCTACCCTATATCCTCATCCCTAAGTGGGGGAGGTCCCCTGGAGAACTGCTGGGACCTCTCAGTGAATGTCCACTGTTCCCCTCCGAGGGGGCGCCATTTCTCATTTGCGTGAGGGCACTGTGTGGACAGGGACAGCTTACTCACACCCCAGCAGGACGTGGGAAACCAACCATGACTATCCTCGAACCCTCTGCACCCTGGAGGACCCCAGGACATCCCCCGAGGTAGCAGTGGGCTTGCGCTTAGCTGGGAGGAGGCAGGACTCACCAGGATCAGCTCCCCATCATTGGTCAGTTCTCTGGTCCAGGAGGTCTTGGGACCCTCTCCCTTCAAAAGCCTCTGCTCGCAGACCATTTTGTTCTCACTTTCCCATTTCACCAGGCTCTGCAAGGGAGAGGTGGCCAAGTGAGCTGCGCCCCCATCAGGGACAACGTAGCAAGAGAGATAGGGGATGTACCCCCTTTCTACCCACCACCACTACCGAGGGACTTCCTCCATTAGAAAAAGAGAAAGGGATCCAGGAAAAGACTAGAAAATGGCATGCTGAGAGGCAGGGCAATAGAAGCCACGATCCTGAGGGACCCCTTCCTGGCACTCACCTTACAGGGCCTCCCATCCACCGTCTGCTCCTCGAACTCTTCTCCAATCTTGAAGTTAATCTCCGTGGTGCGCACAGTGGTAGAGGTTTTGATGTAGAAAGTGTCTCCCTCCTGTTTGATCTCCACTGCCGGCTTGGAGGCGGCAGCCACGGCGATCTTCCTCAGCATCACATTCACCCCTGCAGAGAAGAGAGAGGCTCACCTTTTGGGGTGCTCCAGGCACCTGTGTTACACCTTCCCCAAGAGACAGCTGGAGCAGTCTGGCTCGTTTCCGAGAAAGTTCATGAAGTTCAGGGCAGGTGGTGCAGCCCTAATGAATGGGGGGGTTTAGGGAGGAGGGCAGAGAGGCAGTGCCTGCCCTTAAAGGATCCTGCTCCTAGCAGCCACCCCACCTGGGTGAGTCAGCAGTCCTAGATTAGCCACCCTCCCCCCTCCCTTCCCAGCTCAGGGGCACTTTTCCCATTCCCCTCACCCAGCAGGCATCCTGCTATGGGCTCACCTTGGCTCTGTCCACCTCACTTTGGGCCCTTTGTCTACCCTACTTGAGACCCTCTGCTGGGTGGGCTCATTAGAGCCACTGTGTCCTCACCTCTGCCCATGTGCAGGCCTCACCACTTTGTCCTGGAGGTAGGGACCACTTCCTCCCTGTGCTACCCACCTCCCCTGTCTGGTGCCAGGTGGGCCTTCATTTGCCCAATCTCTGTCCCTCCCCAAAATGAGAAGGGACAGGGATTCTCGGACAGGGATTCTCAGCCAGGGAAGAGGTGGCCAGCCGCTGGGGAAGCCAAAGGCTCTGGAGTAAGATCCATTTCCTCGATTTCCACCTGGTTCAGCCACCCTTGTAGGCTGGGTGACCCTAGGGAAGTGATGGCGAACCTATGACACACGAACTCATTTTTTTTGGTTGATTTTTCTTTGTTAAATGGCATTTAAATATATAAAATAAATATCAAAAATATAAATCTTTTTTATACTATGGTTGCAAATATCAAAAAATTTCTATATGTGACACGGCACCAGAGTTAAGTTAGGGTTTTTCAAAATGCTGACACGCCGAGCTCAAAAGGTTCGCCATCACTGCCCTAGGGCCTAGGCAAATGGCTTAACTTATCTGAGCCTTAGATTGCTCAACTGTAAAATGGAGACAATAGTTTCTTCCAAAGCCTAGCAAATGGGATGAGGTAGGTGTGTTTAGGGCCTAGTACTCAGTGCCAGGCACACCTTTGAGTTTTTAAGAAATAGTAGTTAGTCTTACGGTAGCAGGCACTTTTACTGATAGAAGGAAGGCAAAGAAAAAGCCAGCGCTGGGGCTCAGACATTCTCTGCATTAGACTCCTGCTCGCCTGCCCTTCTCCCTTCGTAGGACAGAAAGGGGTACTGCCCTCCCCTCCTCTGATGTGTCCCCGACTCCAGGTCACCCTGCCCACCTCAGTGGTAAGTGCTTCTCATTCAGAGTCCCTGTGCCTGTCCGCATATCCTCTCCCAGATTGGATCCCTGCTCTCTGCTCCCCAGTTATTAAGAGGGGTGGGGGAGCCAGGAGAGAGCACCCCTCTGACAGAAGACAAACAGGCAGGCAGGCACCTCTGGCCAGGGCCTAGGTCTAAACTGCCCGGCCTGGCCTCCTGCCCTGACTGGAGCAGAATCCCCCAGAGAAGCAATTGGTGGGGATGAGGGGGCCAAGCTGGGCTGGGCCAGGTGAGCGGGATTCCCCTACCCCTGATCCAGCCCAAACTCCCTGTCCCTCCTCTAGACCTGGGTTCCGAGAGAAACAAATCCTTTCCCCCTGGCACCACAGCACACACTCTGGGCCAGAGGAGGGAGTTGGAAGGAGATGAGCCCTGGCCCTCAGGAGCCCAGGAGCCCCGTTCCTGACTGCTGATCTCAGGCCCGGGAAGAAGTGACCGAGGTTCCAGGTCCAGGGGACTGGGCAGAGGAGGCACGTCCCACTCCATCTTCTTGCACTGAGACTACTTCACTCTTTTGCTGCCTGGGAAGTCCATCTGCTCCCTAACATCCATCTTTCCTGCTACAGGAGCAAAGCCTCCTCCATCCATGGCCATCACACTGCACGGGACAGTTGTCCTCCAAACACCTGAGCATCCCTCACAGGAGAGGGACCCTGGACTAGGGCAAAGGAGCATGAGAAGTGACTGAGGTTCCGGTGGAGGCGAGGCTGCTGGGTTCCGAGGAGACGCCCCTCCAGCCCGCCTCTGCTGCCTGTGGAGCGGGCCCAGCCTCAGCCAACCTTGGCTGACTCAGGGCTGTGTTAATGGGTCTGTTTGCAATCTGTCTCCCAGCAGGACCCGAGGAGGGCACGTGGCTCTGAGAGACCCTGCAGGGAGGACAAACAATGAAGATAGACAGACAACAGGGCTGGGCTTTGGGTCTTATTCTCCAGCTGGGTCCTGGGGGTGCCTCATCCCCTGGGGAGAGGAGCCAAATCCGGAGCTGGGGGAGGGAATGACACCGAGGCTTTCTGAAGGGACATTTCCTATCCTTTTGGTCTTTCATTTCAGCGAGGGCAACACAAGAAAGACTGATGTGACTAGAAGTGCTGTGGTTAGACTGCAAGAAGAACCAGCAGCAAGGAATGCTGGAAGTCCCTGCTTTTCGGATAGCATTCCAGACCCTTCCTAGGTTCAGATTCACCCCTACAGCCCCTGGCCCCACACAAGGTGCCCCTCCCCACCCAGCCCAACTGGGTTCTCTCTGTTCAGTCCTGAAACGGAGGTGGCTCCCCAGTTGCTTAACCAATCTCCATCTCTTCCCAGAGCCCCCCACCCCCTCCAGCCATTTCCTAGCTTTCACCCCTTCCCCAGACAGAGGGCACACAAGAGTTGGGAATGGCCATCTGGGTGGGGACAGTTTCCCTGCCTTTAACCAGCACACCCAGCTGGGCTGTAGTGGGTATCCAGGGAGAAGGGAGAAGAGAACTCCTATTGGAGAA